GTTCAAGTAAATCGTGGTGGGCGACTGGGTGGTTGTCTACTAACAGTACTTAGGTAATTAGATAGCGACAGCAGACAGATAACTACGGGTCAATGTCCGCGGGCATTTTGAACCCCAGACTCTCTGGATGGGAAATGCTGCGCTTTAGCCGGGCCGTTCTGGACCCCACATATTTACCCCTATTTCGTTCTTCGAGTTCTCGCCGTCGTGACTCTTCGCCGCCGCCAATAGCAATAAGCGAGTGTCACCCATAGGATTTGCCAAGTCCCAAAGCCAAGCGTCAAGGGTTTCTACAAAGTTGAGGATGTGTGGCGTTGAGAGCAATCCAAGTTCCATCTTTCCCCAAAATATTTGCTTCCTTCCCATCAATGGCGAAACTCCGGTTTCCCGACTTGCTGGCGTTTCTCACCATTGCCAATCTCCCCCTCGCTGCCGGTTCCTTCGGGGGGTTCGGGGGGTACGGCGATGCATTCACCGGGCGTATAGGTCCGTTCGACGCCAACTCCACACAATTCCTCGAGGCCATCGCAGCCTCCAACGCCACAGCCGTCTACAAAATCCCCGGCCATGACGTCTCCAAACCCTATCCGGGCGCGCCGATCGACGGCTGGCGACTCCACCTCTCCGCGCTCGACATGTCCCAGCCCCCAACCTACCAATTCAGCGACGGGAAGCCCTTCATCGGCTACAGCATGACCATCTCCGCCCCCCCGGCCCTCCTCAAGGCCAACCCGGACGGCGGCGGCAAGATGGTCGACACCGACCCCAGCTGGGGGATGTGCATGTGGGCCTACGGGCACCCCAACCAGCTCACCAAGGAGCGCTACAACAACCCGGCCAACAAGCCGCTCGCCGCGGACGGCTCGTGCGCGGGGTTCCTGTCGGACGCATGCATCGCGGCGCTGGAAAAGGCCACCGAGGACGCGTACTCGGTCGCGGTCTCGGCAACGACATCGCGGCCGCTTCGGCTCCCTCGCCCGATGCAGCGATCTGGACACGCCCGACGAGTGCGGCGAGTGAGGCCCCGGCAACGCCGGCGGCGCGGTCCCCCTCGTATGGGGGCGTGCCGGTGCCGTTTTTGAATGGGTCCGTCACGACCTCGGATGGTTGGGAGTTTGGGAGCGATGCGGGCGAATACTACAATTCGACGAAGGACCTGCAGGAGTTTTGGGATTCGCAGGTGCTGAATTATTGGGTGTTGGTTACAGCTATGGTGAACGTGACGATTGATCCGGATAGGGAGTCGTGGAATCCTGGGCCGGGTCTGCCGAGTGTGCACTGCGTGGCGCCGAATGGGCAAGGGACGGGCAAGGGGTTTACGTTTTCGGGGGTGGTGCCCGCGAATGCCTTGAATGGTGATGGGGAGGAGGATGGGGGTGGTAATGTGGGTGCTGGGAACGGGGGAGGGGATGAGGGCGGTAATGATGCGGGTGCTGGGAATGGGGGTGACGAGAACGGTGCAAGGCTGGTAAGTCCGTGGAATTGGGCCGTGTGGCTCTGGTTGGTTTTGCCGGTTGTTCTCCAGGGCTGAATCAGGGCGTGAATGCTGTTTAACGTTGGTTGAGACGCTCCCCTTTCCAGTTCGGCTGTTTTTGGTCAAGGGTAGCAAGATGTTCTTTTCCACGGTAACTACCTAGGTAACTAATGCATAATTTTGATGTTGATGCAAGGCCCGTAATCGAAGACCCAGCGTGCCTTTCCAAATCCACAACCATTCCTTCTGAATGCAGCTGGTTCTTTTGGACCCCAACGGAAATAACTGTGGAGCCGCGCCGGATTTCCCGCGCCGCCAGGGGTTGGACCACCTGGGCAGCGAGAACGGGAGGTAAGGTACCTTAGTTACCGACAGCGCTGGTGGCAGCTTGCCTCAATTTGCGTTTTCCGTGTATTCGAGCTTTATGGATACACCTGGGCATGCGCAAGTGAGGTTGGATAGCAAGGAAAAGGATGGCGATCATTCGATCATGGATCGGAAGTTTTGGAGCAGAAAAGTGGATTGATCTGGCCAAGGATGCGCCATGATGCAGGCAGGTTGGCAGGCACGTGGGAGCCTGAAGCAAGGCTCCGCCCAATGTGGCAGTTCGTCCTGTTTTCACAGCCTCAACCAAGAAGTTCTGGGGCGAATGCAAGGCACAAGTGCTGGGCAAAATGGGGCGCTCCTTTCATGCATCCTTTAAATTGCCTCGGAGATTCACAAACGGATTCACAAACAGGGTCGCACCACTAAATTTCTTAATTTAGGAGACCCATAAATCGCGTAAATACAGCAGGCACCCCCAGCAGAAGCTTGACCATCTTTTACACAAATTCGTCGTTGATCCTTCCTCTTTTTCCTGCCTCGGCTTCCCATTTCGTCAACAACACGCATTAGTCCCCTCAAGAAGCCACAAGAACTCACAACCTTACCTGCGATCGCCAAAATGCACACCACCACGACCCTCCTCGCCGCGCTCACCAGCGCAACCCTGGCCCTCGCCAACCCGGCGCCGGCAGCGGAAGCGCACCCAGCCCTCGTCACAGCGGCGCCGGCGCTCCACCCCGCCGCCGCGCGGCTCGCCGCGCGCCAGTTCCGAACCACCGACTCCGAGATCTCCAAGTCCATCGCATGCGGGAGCGCCTACCTCTCACTCGCGGGCGACGCGCCACGGGAGACCAACGCCGCCCTAGCCCGATGGGTCCTGAGCGCCGCATCCCCCGCAGCCGAGATCGTCACGGCCACAGCCCTCGACGAGTCCCTGACCTCGCTGTGCGACCCCAGCCTGACGGCGACCCTCACGCCCCCGGCCTCCCTCTCGAGCGCCTGGTCGACCTATCTCGAGAAGGCCAGCTCCTGGATGACGAGCGCGGCGCCGGAGGCCAGCAGCCTGGCGCAGAGCTGCGGCGGCGAGATCGGCGCCGTCATCGGGTTCCTCGTCGTCAGCGACGCCGAGAGCTGCACCAAGGCCGTGCTGGACTTGGTCGCGGCCGCCAACGGCGAGGATGTTACCAGTGCAAGCGACAGCGAGACGGTCTCGCCCACGCGGTCGCGCACGACGGCCGCGCCGGAGGCGTCTGAGACGGGGAGTGCGGGTGGGGATGATGATAACGGCGATGGGGGTGATGATGGCGCGGATAATGGGAATGGGGGTGGTGAGGATGGTGGCTCGGATAACGGCTCCGACGAGACAGGCGGGGCTGGCGCGGCGGAGACCTCCAGCACGTCTACTGGTGGTGTGCCGAGGGAGACGGGCTTTGTTGGTGTCGCTGCTGCGGCGGCTGTTGCCGTGGTCGGTGTTGTCGCTGCGCTCTGAGAGGTCCGGTTTGATGGCGGGGACGATTCTTTGAGTCTTGCCTTGGGCGATGATAGCGCGAGTTCGGCGGTGATCTTATGAATTTTAGACACCACATGGCTGTAATGTTTATGTTTTTAGCGATTGGGAGGTCATGTATATAGACAGGATACGTGACCATGATTCACATCACCTCATTCGCGTGTTAAGGCTTTGTGAAATCTTCCCTGCTAATCTGGAGGATGTTGACGCTGGAGTTCTGACTGGCCAACGGTTATCAATGCTTATTATCCTTTCGACTGAGACATCAACTTGGGGTCACCGCAGACGCCTTTTTATATATTATTATTCATACTCCGCTATGCCCTAGGGCGTGCCGGACCCTCTGCTATTTAGTGTACAGGAAAACCGTGCCCTCCCGGGCTGGGTGAAAAAACCCATACCAACAATCAAGGAACGATGCGTTCTGGTGAGTCTGCGTATACAAAGAGAGGAGGCCTCCTGGCCTCCGAACGGGGGCGTTTCGGGCCGCCGCTTCCAGCTCGAGCCTCCTGGCTAAGCTGTACATCGGCAGCTTCCCCGAGTCCATCAGCCAGTCGAGGATCCTCCTCGCCAGTCGTGCAGTTGTGGGATTGATGCCGTGCAGAACAGAGTAAAAGTCCCGTCGTGTCCGAATCCCAGTTCTCTCCCATCTTCGAGTCAACGGTGGGGCCAAACACCACACTACCAGGTGTTCGGCAGTCTCCCGTCCCTCCCCGCACTCGCAGGCGGGCGTTAGGACCTCTGGGACCCCTCGCAAAAACAGATAGTCCCGTAAGCCTATTGCTCCCGTTCGGATCTGGGTCAGCAGAGAACTCTTTGCCTTGCTGAGACCGTCGTGCCGTCTTAGGGTTTCATCTCGGAATATCGTCTCCCGCTGATGGTCAAAGTCATCCGCCAGTCTGGTGATTGCCCTGTCGTCCCGTTCCTTCAGCCACCTCGCTTTCCAGGCGTCTTCTACTAATGGGTATATAATGCCGAAGAGTTATATCGCGGGCCTTAAAGTTGAGACGCGGTGTAACTGGTAATTCAGGACCGAAAAGGTCATATTCAACTCTCTGTTCCATGTCATAGGGAGGCTTCCCCTCAGTCGCTTTGGACGCCACTACAATCTTTCGCGATTCCCAAGTCAGCGGGTAAATCATGCGGCGAAGCTCAGCAGGAAGACTTTGCCAGCCTGCCCTCTGGGGAGCTTGGCCGGGAATGTTTTGAGTCATATTGAAGATCTGGAGGGCCACGGATGGGATCCACAGTACGAAAGTGCTGAAGTTTTGATGCGAGAAGGCGGACAAACATATCACAGAGTGTGGGTAGGTGTTAATTCATTTTAGAAATGCTTAGGGAACCTTTTCTCATTTATTATAGAGTGTGTGCCGTGTAATAACCACAGCACAGGAGCTCTGAGGTCATGAACATTTGGATGTTTTCCCCGTTTTGGCTGTGGCTGTCGATGGACCTGGTTCCGATTACATCGGAATTTGTCTCTCGACCAAATGGGTGCCAAATTCGATTTGGTCGTGCTCAGGTAACCTCCTTGTAGCATTTCTGATATAGGTATGATATAAGAGGTCAAAGGTAAAAGAGAAATCGTCGACAACAGGCCTAGAGGTTGGGGTACCTTACCCGATGGCGGCATCAAACCCTGGAAACTTAATCCTGCCCGGAGGACAATATTAAGCCAATTGAATCTGGTTTTGCAGGGGGTGGTGTGGGCCAACTGCCCCGCGGTCCGCTTACCGTTCGTGGCACTGCACGGCCGCACAACGCTCAACGTCACACCAACATCAAAACGTGCTGACCTCCCGCGTCATATTCCAACGCTCACTCCTCTGCTGCCCTCCCCCTCCCGCCTATCGCCGCCGACCCGATCACCATGTAAGTGCAAGCCTAGGATAACTACATTATCGAATGAACCCGAACTCTTTAACTAACCGCAACCCCAGGATCGACCCCTCCATCCGCCTGCGCCGGGCAATCCACTCCAACGATGCGCTGCTCGCCCGGCGCATCCTCAAATCCCACCCCCACCTCCTCCACAACCCAGACCTCTCACTCACGGGCAACGCAAGCTCCAACCTCCACCTGGCCGCATCGCTCGGCCACCTGCCCATCTGCAAGCTGCTCCTCGAGCTGGGCCACGAGGCTGACACCCCCGCGCTCAACGACGACCACCAGACGGCGCTGATGCTGGCCGCCGCCGCCGGCCACACCGAGGTCGTACACCTACTCAGCGAGCACGACCCGGCCTCCATCCTGCGTCAGGACGCCCGCGGCCGCGACGCCATCATGGAGGCCAGCCTGCACGGCCACGACACGCTGGTGCAGATCCTACTGACGTACGCTCCGGGGGGCGCGGCGGCCGCCCTCGCGCAGGCCGACGTCGACGGGAACACGGCGCTGCACTTTGCCAGCAGCAACGGCAACCTGCTCGTGCTCCGCACGCTGCTGGCCGCGGGCGCCGACGCCGGTAGGATGAACGCCTGGAGTTGGACCGCCGAGGCTTACAGCGCCACCGTGCAGGCAGAGGTCTATCTCAAGACGCTGGTCGGGGAGGTTGAGCGCCGGAAGCAGGCGAGGAGGGAGGGCGAGGCGGCGGCCAAGACGGGCGGGGCGGTGAGGCTGGTGGGGCAGGAGGTGGGGGATTGAGGGGTGAGGGGTGAGGGGTGGGTGGGTGAGGATGGATGTACGCATATCGTTTTACATTGAGCGATGATGGAAATTGATAGCTGATGTGGTAGCCGATATGTACATGTAGACAAGGAGGAAACGTCGTCCCTGTTCTCAAGTGGCAGTTGTGGGAGGATGGGTCAAGAAGGCAATACCAGCATGTTGGCGGTTAGGCTAGGAGGAAAAGGTGGATGGGAATTGCAACGCCTTCTTTTCCAACACCAGCGTTGGAGACCGTTGTCAAGGGGTTCTCCGCTTCGGTTTACTGGGTTTCAAACGCAGCCTGAAAACTTGACACTTCGTCTGTGATACTTCGAGCACCAAAGGTTCATACACGTCAACTACCGCTTAGCAATCGTGGGATGGTCAGATATCCTCTCACAGTTACACCAGACGCGATCATGCGGAATCTTTGAAGGCCACGTTGCCCTCATCGATGAATCTGCCCCGCCAAAAGTGGCATGATTATCTGATGCGTGGAGATAGCGGTGATGGCAGATGCACGTCTCGTGGCCAAAGAGACTCTGCAAGCATTTGGTTCTTTGACTCTGTATATGCCCTAAGGCCTGAGAAGGTTGCAAGTGGGTGCAGCAGGATCAGGTTAAACAAGGGCTGCTTTTGTCAGGGCTAGAACAACTGACCATATTTCGTCTCAACCTAAAACGATGGCGACACACCGAGAGGAGTTGAACTCAGCATGTGCCCCAAATTCAATGACAGTTCCTCTGCTGGACTCTGGGACAAAGGCCAATGTGACATTGGACTCAATAGCCCTGCTACAGCCACGCACGCAACACCTACTCGCATGAACCGGAGTGAGCCTACAACAGCAGTCAACATTGCATGATGGGATCAAGCCAACGCCCCATTTGTTATAATTTGTGAATAATGATGACAGCATAGTTGGATAACTCAGCTCTCCACTTACGCCTTTTTGCTCCAGTTTTCATCGCCGCTCTAGTAGTCATACTTGGACATAATACCCCCTTACACAAAGCTTCATTGAGGGCAGCCGTCTGGAGTCTGAGTCCCTGCATCACGAGTCGTCTCATTTTGTGGACCTTGCCTTGTCAACCGTAGAACTCAATTGCACCTCCTGCTGTTCGTCTCGACACCCATCTAAGGGGTATCAATGCTGCATGAGTCGCGCCGGTCCTAAGTTTTCAACAACACCACAAAGACTCTCATGATGCACAGAAACCGCCCCTGGCACTAGTGGTCTGACCCACAAAGGAAGCATCATGAGGCTCCTCGCTCATGATGCTCCTGGCATCTCGAGATGACTCTACTTCATGGAGTGTATAAAGATGCCTCTGCCTTCCCAGGTCCCCCCTTTCTCAGCATCCATCCTCCAGCGCCCATCAATCCTGAGCCCACCATCACACGGCAACAGAACACTACCACAACAGCCAAACAAGCAGACAATAACACCCACCATCATCAACCCCAGCAATGATCCTCTCCGGAGCAGGCAGCAATCCCGCCTTCGGCCGCGACCCCGGCCCGCCTCCCCCCTTCGGCCCCCTGACCGGCGCTCCCCCGCCCCCTGACTTGGGCGGCCCCCCTCCCGGCACCATCATGACCGTCCAACCGCCTTACTACACCATGCCCGGCATCCCCGGCATGCCACACATCCCCGGCATGCCCATGCCCCACATCCCCGGCATGCCCGGCCTCCCCGGCCTCCCACCGCACCTGTTCCCCTACTACCACCCCTTCTACCCGGCGCCCCCACCCCCCTACACGGCCGCCCCCGCGGGCAGCGTCGCGCCGCCCGGCCCGCCGCACCAGCTCGGCACGGCCATGAA